GTCATCGTCGTTCGCATCTTTCAAGTGGCGCGTCTGGCCACGTCCTCAGGCAAATGGCCCCTTCAGAGCGTAGGTCCACACGACAGAAGACAGGCAGGCAGACAGACTAAGCGAGGCGATTGGCCAATTCGAATCGACCCTGTCGGATCGATAATTTGAGGCGTTTGCTTCGCACTCGCCGCACATCTGCAGCCATGCCCGACGGGCCGGCCTGAGGCGGCGGCCATGCGCGAAATGGCCAGCCACTGCTTCCGCGTCTCGCCCAAGAGCCAGCGGACGAGTGAGATGGTCGACTGTTGACAATGGCTTCAGGCAGGGATGCTATTTCCGACGAAAGCAAAGGTCCCGGCGACTGGGCCTACAATGGCGTAGACGAGCTCGAGCAGGAGGCTCTCTTCTCTCAATGCACCAGCTGCTGCAAAAGTGGCATCTGCAACAGCAGCAGCAGCAGCAGCGGCAGCAGCAGCGACATCGACAAACACAGCGACGGCGACGGACCCATTTCGCGGGGTCCAAATGACCAGTTGTCGCGGCCTCAGAAGGTCTGCGAAATCGGCTACCTCCTCCTGTCGGAGGCGGGCGGAGACGGTGTTGTCGGGACTCGCGTGGACGCTTTGAACTCGGCGCAAGGGCCAGCGGCCATCTTCTTCAAACACCTCCTCCACTACCCTCGACTGTTGGCGGAGCTACGCACTCGCCTCAACTGCCACTCCGACTCGCCTCCAGACGCCGCCGTCGACGAGGTGACCGCTGCCGTCCTCCTCCGACTCGCCGGTCTGTCGCCGGCGCAGACGACGCGATTGCAGCTGTGGTACAACAAAGTGTGGAAGCGACGGTATCACGGCCTCATGGACGCTGTCCGGTTGATGCACTCGGACTACCGACATCTGATGTCGCTGCTGGCGACGCCGCAACGGTCGGACATGATTCAGTTGCCACGACAACCCGACACGGCCGTAGAGACGGCCGGTCTGGCCGTCAGTCTGGTCGACCAATTGTGTCTGCAACTGGTCTGCCCGACCGGCCGGGCCGGAATCACTCGCCTCGGTCGCCACGACCAGCCTCGCTTCCTCTTCACGTCGGCCGCTTTCCTCGAGGATCTGCGTCTGCAATCCGACCTCCAGACGGCTCGTTTGCAGGCTGTAGCCCAGCTCTGCTCGCAGCGCTCGGCCCTAGTCACCAGGGCCCGAGAACACCGTCTCCACGGCTACCGAGAAGTGGGCAAGAAGGCGCGTCGTCTGGACGAACTGAAGAGTCGGGTGGCCGGTCTGTCGGCCGCGGGCCCGTCGGCCTGGCTCGGCATGGCCGACTTCAAGACGGACTCGATGCGCTGTCGTCTGTCGGGCATGCAAGAGCGAATGGCTCAGTTGGAGTCTGTGCTGCACGAAGAGGAGCTGCAGCGCAGGAGTT